TCGCAGGAAAGTATGGGAAAAACAGAAAAGGTTATAATTTTTGTATCTAAGCCAAGGAACTATTGTTCAGGAGCAGGTCTTCTCCGGGTACCATGATTTTCTGGGAAAGTTTGAGCTCCACAGCCTCAAAGATTCTGGAGGGTCTTATAAGATGCAGGCAGGAATTACATTTTCTTATTTGAACCATCCACAGTTGATTATGCACATTGAAGCTATGGACATGCTTTTTTTCCCCTATTTTTCTTCTGCCTTCCCACAGACCTGTTATTAGTGGTATTAGACTTGTTTTCCTAAGGTAGTTTTCCCTTTCCTTATGGCAAAAGATTTTACTCTTTGAGCTTTCCTTGTTTCTGTGCTTTCTCTTTTCCATCTTTCCTCTCATCATCTCATCTCTGATGGGATGGGTCAGAAATGCACAACCTGCTCTTGTGCAGTACACCTGGTTTTTCAGGTGGTGCTATGAGCAGAGATGGATGTTGCTGCAGCAGAAGATGGTGGCTAGCTGTGCCGTGTTCACAGCCAGAGACAAAGTGAGAGTCAAGCACAGGTGCTATGTTCCAGAAGTCAAACTTGGAGTGATTCTTCAGTTTTGATGCGTAATACTTCATTAGTTGCTGCTATGAATATCTGGCAGAATAGTTCTACTGTGTGCCTGGTGGTCTCTTCTTTAATATGCAGATTTGTCAGGGATGTCCATTCATGCAGCTGTAGCTACAATCCATTTGACTTAGTATCGTTAGCCTTGATGGCAATCTACCCTGTGTTACCACAGATCCTGGTGTCCAACTTCACTTCTGTCAGCCAGAAAAATAGTACAAGACTAGCAAAGCAACCATCTTGGTTAGACTGTCTTCCACAGCAAGACATCTCTGAATGTCTTTTGTGAAGTCAGTGCTCAAGCAATTTTTGTAATTCACTTAAAATTATTAGCTCATCACAGAAGCTCTATTCGTTCCAGTACCCATGCATGCCCTGTTAAAGATAAATGTAGAAGTGTCAGTTTTATCTTCAGCTGTTCCAAACATGTTTTTTTTTTCTTCTCCTGTATGGGAAAACTATACGCCTATCTGTTGCTTGTCTGAATGAACTCATCTTTTCTAAAGCTCGCATGAGCTGCAGATCCTAACCTTGGTCATCCAAGTCTAACACAGCATTTCACAGTGAGAAGGCAGATGAGAAATCAGGATCTCAGAACTACCTGCACTATTAACGAGACTGCTAAAGCCCACTCTCTGTCTCTCTCTGTCTCTCTCTCTGTCTCTCTCTGTATATATATATATACATATTTTCTCCCAGAAACCCTTGCTACACAAGAATACCACGTGGAAAAATCAGGAAAATTTCATGGTAAGGCAAAAAGCTACTTTCAGTCTAGTCAGAATAAAATCAAAACCAAATGATGTGTAGCTACTTCAGGTTGTACAAAGCAACCAGGATTTAGAGTTTGAACTCTCAGGGAAAGAAGAAATAAACTACTCGCAGTGGAGGGTGGGGAGGAGAAACAGGGATAGAAGGTCAGGTAAAACAAGAGGAGCAGAGCTTGAGAGGATCTACAGTGGTCTTTGAATCTATAGGAGATTCAAAGCAAGCCAGGGTTGCAGGAGCAGAGAAGGTCCCTGAAGAACCAACATTAGGTTGCATAGTTATGCCACTTTGGCTTAAACTGTGCCTCCTACTGCACCTCTGGTGGCAAACCAGATAAAGAATGGGAACTCTGTAGATTAACCCATTCCTGTTATCTGTAAACCAGTTTCTTTTAGTTCTTACTTCTGTGGTTGCTTGTGTAACCTGGATATTTCTATTGAAGAGAATTATTTACACCTTTGCATATTTGGGCAGAGTCTATCACACATAGTTTTAAGGTAATGCAGCACACCATTGGCCCTCCCTTCATGATTGGCAGAAACCCAACATCAGGCATGTTTTAGAAATGTAAGTAGCATACTGCCACCAAAGGCAGCCGTGCATAACAACACCCTGTGTTAGTAGTTTGTTCTGTTCATGCCCTAGCCGTACTGCTCTCAAAACTGGTGGGGAAAAATCATATGGAAAAAAGTACCTCAGGATTAGACATGAAACCAAAATGGATGCCTCTGGGTGGAGGCAGCTTGAGCAGCATTGCAGCTGTGCTGTGGCCTGCCCACCTTTGCAACGCCTCTGCTGCTCTAGGAATCAGCATGCCAAACTCAGCCAGCAACTGCAGGGTTCGGCTCTGCAGAGCGCACAGCCATCACCTGTCATCAGGCATCTCTGCCTTGCCTTGAGAGCCTCTCAGTGCATGGTCCGCTGCTGTGCTGCTTCAGACAGTCAGTGAAGTGCTGTCGTTCTAGGTTCATGTAATTGGTGATGGCTCCGTAACTGAGGGGAGCAGCAGGTCTCCAGGCTCAGAGACAAACACTCAGTGCCCAGAGAAGTCTCCCTCCCCCTTGTCTCTCTGCTTGTGGAGTTCCAACACTTCCTTGTGTCGCGGATTATGCCTGGCCTACTTTTACACATGCGTTTCTGAAGCAGTTGTGACAGTCTCCTAGAGCTTGCACCGCCCAAGTGAGGAAACCCTTTGCTGCTGCTGCACTCTGGTGGGTGGCAGGAGATGGCCTGCACCGGGCCCCAGCTCTGTGCTTCAGGAATCACCACAGTCTGTGTCTGTCAGTGCCCTGAGCCCAGGGCATGACTCCACCACACCAGGCCCCCATGGCCTTCCTGCCTCTGCTCCCAGCCCAAGGGTGGGTGCTTCTGCAGGGAAGATTTTCTTTCCTCCCTTCCCTAGGGGGTGATGTTTGTGCCTGGACATTGCAATGCTGTGAACTGGTATGAGGGATCCCAGGTCAGTGCTGCCTCTTCCCAGAGACTCATGGACCCCTTGCACCCACAGCAGGCAAAATGGCTTTGCAGGGCAGCGATGGTGGTCACACCAGTCCCATCACATTCCAGAAGGAACCAGAAAACAGGTTGTGTTTTTTCTTAACTTCTGCAAGCACCAAAAATTAAACACTGCTTTAAGCAACCAGTTTGGATACTACCTTTGGATACACCTAGACAGTAGAAGCCTGAGCCCCAGAGACCATGGCCCACAGGCTAGGTGCTTGGTCTCTATAGCAAATCAGGCACTTGTCAGGCTGAAGGGCTGTCCTGAGGCAGATGATGGGAATGCATCTTCCAGTAAGGGCTGGGATGCTGAGTTGCCTCTGATGCCCTGGCCATATACGAGGTGCCTCCATGCATGCAGGAAGAGTAGTACCACTGAAATGCACAGGATGCTGAGTGTGGGCAATGGGCAGAACATGGGCAGACAAGATCCGTGACCCTATTGTGCGGTGCCTGCTGGTGCCACACTGACTTGTAGCTGCAGCCAAGGCCTTGACACGTGTGGGTGAACACACAGCTTTAATTAAGTTAATATCTTTCACACAGGCAGTGGTTGTTCAGAAGGGCTTCCAACCGTGTTGAAAGGAGCACAGCAGGGAGATGAGAGGTCTATAAGAAAGCCCTGCAGGCCAGGGTGGCTTGGGGCTCCATCTCTTCCACTATGATGTACCAAACACTGATCAGCCAGGCTCAGAGCATTCTGCGCAGCAGGTAGCACCATGTAAGTAGAATGCTGAACCATTGTAACATCAGTGTTATTTAAGAGACTTCCACCAAGAGCCCATTTATCTCCAGAATCTCAGCTTATCTGATCCATTGTCAAATGTCTCCTCACCATGGCATCCTTGGGATGCCAAGGGCCATTGCCCTGGCCCCTCACCACACTCCATTCTCCTCGCAGGACCTCAGTGTTTCACTCCTGGCTGTCCTCCTTCCTGCTGCATTATCCATGCTGGTCTTCAGTCTTTGTTCTCAGCTGATGTGGCTGGGGAATTCTCAAGGGCGCACGCTCTTGTAAAGGACTCTTTTTCTCGCAATCTACAAATGTAAAGGGAGTTCATGTTTTGTGCCGAACTGCACAGTACCAAGAAATACTGGAGTTCTTCAAATTTCTTTCCAATTCTTCCAAGATGGAAAACTCCTGGGACAGTTTTTATATTTCATGGTTGACTATAAATAGCTGTCACACAGCTGTCATTTTTATTCCCTTCAGGAGATTCTTAAGAAAAGGAATTAAGGCATCAAACAGCTCTGGTACATGATGTATGTGACTGAAAGCTTTTGTGCAAGCCTAAACGTTTTTTATTTCCTTTTGTGTCACGGAATAGTCAGCTTTGCAAAGACATTTGTGCAAGGTCCAGGCAGCCTGCAGGGCTGAACCGCAGGAATCGGGAGTGTCTGGAAGGTGACAGTAGGTATTGTTCACTCCTCTCAACCTTGCTTTTAAAACAAAGGTGCGGTATGTTCTAGGTTAAGGTGTTTGGTTTGGTTCTTTGCCACTGCTGCAAACATTCATACCGGTAGAGCTGTGATAACAAAATAGTCCTGCCTGCAGATTGAACATTTAAAAGACAGAGGGGAGAACATTGCCTGCTGGAACATCTCAAACTTCTGGGGGAAGGGAGGTGAGGGGGCAGAAGCCTTCCACTGGCAGGCATCATGGTTTCTGCTCTGCAGATTTTCAGCCCTGAGGCTACAGTGCTCTTCCAGTTCCCTCCCTGCTCAGTCCTTCCTAAGCAGGAATTGCAGGTGAAGGATTTTCTCTGGCTGCTTTTCTAATAGTTACAGATGGTTCTGTTCAGCAGAATGGAAGTACCAGAGGAGCAATACCAGCATTCCCCTCTCAAACCGTTGTAGTGCACTCGACATAAGGAACACAGAGGCGTAGGCAGGTCTCATCTGTTGTTATGACAGTCTGTGGGGTCAAGTAAGGCTCTGCACTGAAGCTCGAGCTGCATGCCGTTAGAGGGGTTTTGGCTCATGTGGGCGGTGAGAGCAACACCTGACTGAGTGAATCGTCAGCAGCTCAGCTGGAACGTGTGCCCTGATGGGAAGCAAAGGCCACATCCCTCCGGTCAGTGCTGCCTGCAGTCCCCCTGCTGCTTGAACACTTTGTCATGCTTTTCTCCCTACAGGCGAGCGGCCGTTCCCCTGCACATGGCCTGACTGCCTTAAAAAGTTCTCCCGCTCCGACGAGCTCACCCGGCACTACCGCACCCACACCGGTGAGAAGCAGTTCCGGTGCCCTCTCTGCGAGAAGCGCTTCATGCGGAGCGACCACCTGACGAAGCACGCTCGCCGCCACACTGAGTTCCACCCCAGCATGATCAAGCGATCCAAAAAGTCCAGCTCTGGTTCCTTGTGAAGGCAGAGCTGGCCCAGGAAAGGGAGCGGGGTGCAAGAGCCACAGCTGTGGCCCGGAGAGCAGTGGCAGAGGAGGCCCCGCTCACCATCAGGAAGCACATGTAGCTGATGTCCAAAACCTAAGCACTCGGCGTGCTCAGCTCCTGCTCTCCAGTGCTGGCTGGCAACAGCCATCTTGATGAAGGGGATAGCGGCAAGAGGGAAGGATGGGACCACCACCTTCCCCAGTCTGTCGCGTTCGGACTGGCACACGTATGTCCTGCGGGACGGTCCGGCCAGTGACACCACAGTAGCGTGACTCCGAGGTCTTTGTGATTGCTGTGTCATGAACATGTTTTGTTGAACAATGTAATGCTGCTTGTGTTTAGAGTCTGTCAAGTAAAACCACTTTCCGAGTCACATAAGTAATTCTCAGATATAAACTCCATAGCACATTGTAGAAGTGGGTTTACTTCTATCTCAGAACGATACTTCATTTTAAAAGACTGTTAAGAGAAACATTACATGTGTTACTAATAGCATCCAATTGATATTCTGAAATAAGGTGAATTTATATTCAAGAAGACCTGTGAAACTAACTGGGTCTTTTTAATTTTTCTTTGTATTAACTATACTTTTGAATATAAGCTGCACTTTTCCAGTAAAAACATGTGTAATTCAAGCAGATACTTACAGCAAAAAACACTGACACAACAACTCAGTCATTTTCTGACCATATGTGTATTTAGCTCTGTTATTCGTTTACCTGGAAAAATACAAGTCAGCCTACATAATGTGGCGGGGAGGATGAGGGCAGAAACATACGTCTCTCAATTGATCTATCTTTTCATTTGTCAATAAATACAGTACTGTACTATAGAAATGCCACTAACAGTGCTTTATTCTGCTGTGTTTTCTTTGAATGGATGCATAACAGCAGCTACCATCTTTATAAACTGCTGCTTTTTTTACAGGCTCTTTCTCTTCATACACTTGCCTTAAAGATTTATTCTCTTCATACACGTGCCTAACTCCTACCACGTCCAATGGGAGTTCCGTGTGCTTATGGAGAGAGTAGACCTTTCCTTAAGAGCACTCTGCTGATGGAAACAGCTAAATTTATTGTAAAGAGCGCTTCAAAAGGGCTCCTGTATCTCTTGATTGCTGTTTCTGTAGAGTATGAGGGAAAACCATGAGCTAATTGGAAATACAACGCAGAAGATGTGTCCTGATATTCCTTCTGGCATCAGCTTCCCTGGGTACCATGCAATCGTACCTGTGTCATATGTGACACATCCAATACTGATCAAGGCAATATTACTTTAAATTTAGAGCTACTTTTTCCTCTCTTCGAGGAATAAAATGATCACTGAACAGAAACTTTCAAATCATGATAATTTTCTGTGCATTTCATCTTCTTTATGTTGAAAACACGAACCATACAAGGTTATTTTTTTCCCCCTCCCCAGCTACTTGTAGGGGGGAGAATTATGTTTACACATTATTTCTTCCAGAATCATTCTTTTTCTGTTCTGTTTTTACTCCTTCCTCCAGAAGAGGAAGGGGAGGTGCAGCCCTGCTATAGAGACTTAGGGCCCAATTCATCTCGGGAGTAATCACACTGAAATCTGAAGTGTTTCCACTGCAGATGAATTTAGGTCATCCTGTAAAATTCTGTACATAAAGATCTTGTTAGTTCACCTGCAGTTACAGTATCTTATTGTTTTACCTGATAAAAAGCTTGCTTCCTAGAAACAAATGTTAAGAAATGAACTCAGAGAGTAGAGTATTTTCTTCTACAGTTGTATAAGGCTTTCAGCATTAGAAATCAGTTTGCATATAGTGTTTTTACCTGTGTAGTTCTTGATAAATTCCGTCTATGTGAAGAGAACTGCTTTTAAGGCATTAGGGATACTGAGCAGCCTGTGGAGTAAAAGGGATGTGTTTTCTTCAGTGAAGACATCAGGAAACCAAGCACACTTTCTACCTCCGTTTCAGCTTTGTGAAACATTTATTTTAGAAACCAAACTTTAATTTCTGGTGTCCAAATTGGGTTGTAGGATCTCCTAACAAAAAGAGGTAGCCTCGGTATTTCTAGTGATCTAGGAATACAGAAATCATTCTGCTTACCAATACTGTTAACGCTGCCTTGTTGAGTGGTGTCAGGGCCGCGTGTCACCCAGTGAGATTCAGTGGAGCATGCCCATTCATCTTCTGTCTTCTCTGTGAAGATCATAGTAAGCTTTCGAGTCTGCCCCACAGCCTGGGTTGCTGCAGTTTTGTAGGACAAATGCAGTACTTAGAATGTTAAGGCCTGGTCCTGTGAAATGCACAACACCCTCACTCGCTGTCAACCACAATGGGAAGTCACATCTGATAAGCAGCTCCTAAACCAATATGCAAATGTTTTGGTCACTTAGTTACCTACACATGAAAGCAAATGGCCAGATTCATGGATCCCAGCTTCAATATTTGGGGTAGAATGCACATTTAAGGAAATGTCATCGTTATTTCTTCCACTTCTAAAAGAATTAATGGGGGAGGGAAAGGTACTTAGGTCCACAGAAGAAGGGGAAAACAGATTTAGGTTGTTATCACTGATGACAACAACCTGTTTCTGAAAAAAGAAACAAAACCTGAAACAGTAACAAATTTGCTCTAATACATCCTGTATTTCAGCATAGGATAGACAGCATTAACATGATTCATTAATCACTAGCAGAGGACATGGGGAATAATCAGGTGTAGGGAATTCATTTTATCATGTTATTCATTAGGGTTTTTAGTTGTTCTTCTAGTAAAGACAAAGAACGGATCTAACACATGAACAAACTCCAGGTTAGTTTTCTGCATCTTGAAGTTAGGTTTTGAAGAGTGTTGCGATGTTTGAAAGAAAAGGAAAATCAAGTTCTCTAATACCATTCGTACTTATTGTACTATTTTGGAAATAATTAATAGTGCTGAAGTTAGGACAGCTCCTCTCCTTGGTTAAGAAAGCCCATTACTATAGAGAAGTCGTGGCTTTAAAGGTATAGCTATACATTTGTCAACATATTTCATTTTTTGAAACAGTTTTTCATGACCGTTATTACAGATCTGTTTTCAGTTTGCAGATGGACTTAGTCCAGCACACACCAGACTGGACTTGTTCTTCAAAATGCTGTTTTACAGATTCATGATCTGTAACACTGTAAAATACCAACCTCCAGCAGTTTAATCAGTTTTATTTTTGTACAGTATTCGTATCCTTTATAAGTTATTTTGCTGTCCTGTTTTGTAAATCACATGAAATTGTAAAAAAAAATAAAAGAAAAAAAAAAAAAAAAAAAAAGTAGACATAGATGTTTTTGTACATATGTATATACATTGTCCAAAACAAAAGAAAAAAGAAGAAAAAAAAAAAAAAAATGTCGTTCTGAATGTTTGGAGTCAAAAGGTGATCATGTAAACCAGTTTGGATGATTATTAAAAAAATGCTGCTGCACACAATGAAATCCATGAGTGTAGTGCTATATGAACCTGTTTCAAAGGTCCTGGCATTGCTTGTTATTACTAATGAAGCTTTAATCTTGTTTCTCTACTTTTCCCAGCTATGTTCACAGATGCTCCCTCCCCCCCAGTGGGCAGGCACTTGCTGTGGCAGTAGGGGTATTCTTCACTGGCTTGCTGTGTCGATGCAGCCGCTGAAGAATCTCACTGGCATTTTCATTCGGGAATAGCTAAAAGCTACCAATACAAAATAACATCATTTGGCACCTGGGAACTGTGCTAGAGTGCGGCAGCAAGATGGGACCGAAGGGGACACCCCTGCACAATGTGGGCAGAGATGGAGGGGTGGAGGTGTGCCATCCAAATCTAGAACAAAATTTTAAGTATCCTCCAGATACTGGCCTGAAACTGTGTTGGCATTTTCTGCCCTTGTCTGAGTGACCAAAGGACAAATGCATCAAACTCAGCATAGAGAGTTTTCTTTTTTTAGTTTGTCATTGTTTCTACAAATAGAGGACACAGGGTTCATTCCCCAGAGCTTATTCCCCTGCTATCCCATCATAAAAGATGTTCCATACACTTTTTATTCTTACCTTATACTATTTAATATTTGTCCTTAGTGCTCTAAATGGAAAAGGTAACAAAATTTTCCTGATACAGACAGTGCCTCAGCCTAAAGAGGACGTTTCCAGCCATTGACATCTAGTGCTCTTTGCTGAATAGTCCTCCCAGGACTGATATAATCTTGGCTGGAATAAGCACAGCATGTGAAGACTAGCAGCACTCCCGTGGATGCTGGCTGGAAGACTCAAGCAGTGACTTGCGGAAGTGTGACCAGTGTGACCCTGAACACAGTCCAAACAATTCAGACAGCACAGTTAGTTCTACAAGGAGAATTTTTCATTTCTTCTTTCTGCCGAAGAAACAAGAAAGGGTGCCACCCAGTGCAGTAAAAGCCCAGTTAAATGCCTGTGGGTTCCTGTGCAACCTGTGACTGCTAGAATGAATTTCCCTTTCATGAGAGTCTAAACCAGAGAGTCTAAGCACTCACTGAGAGCTAAGGAGTCAGGGAGATCTCAGACCTCCAAGGCTTTTGCTTTGGACGCAAAATCTCCTTCAGCCTGAGCTTTCCACACTTGCCATCCACATCTGAGAAATCAACCACTTAAGGTAAAGTCACAGCAGTCAGAACAACATACTTCCCAGAATCCTCTTTAAAGAACCACATTAAATAAGCAAGGGAATCTTTTCCACCAACAGAAATTTTGCTATTACAGAGCTTTCAGTGCCATGTTATCCTCAAGTAAGAAACTCCCTGTCCTTTAAAACATCTTCCCAAGCACTTCCACAGGTAGTACAGAACATTTCCCATTTTGAGCAGGGAATTTCTTGACTGGCAATCAGTTCCATATATTCCAAACTTTTTTTTCCCCCTCCATATTATTTTACTGTGGACTCTTATGCTATGAACCACTGCATCATGGACTCAGTGTTTCCAAGCAGAAATCATTTGAGAGAACCCGCAAGATACACATAACTGCTAAGTCAAAAAACCAGACAGCTGGGGAAAGCTACCATCTATGTAACACTAATGCTAAATCCCTAAGGCTATTTTACAAGATCACACACAATCCAGATTTTACCTGGAAACAACACTGGTCGGTTTTTACATTCAATACACCATTTTTCACATTATTTTTCAGCTGAAACATTTCAGCTGGGAAAGCCTTACTGTAAACTCCTCCATGCTGAAATAAAGGAGGTTCTCTCAATAAAGCTTACTATAGTAACTTGTCATGACAAGAGAAACTTAAGGCATACTAATGCTTGGGGAACCGCGTGCACACTGGACCCTACTTTAATTATACTGGCATCAATCCAGTGCGTTTTATACAGAACTTTAAACACTACAGAAGTTCTGATCATACAAACAGCAGTCAGGCTCAAAAGCAGGTGCAAAGTGGATCCAGATTCCTTAGTCACTGGGTTCCATAGCGTCAGTGGTTTGCTACCTGAACACACCTCTAAGTGTCATTGCAGCAGCTCAGAGGGGACTGATGGTGATGGTGGTGACTGACAGCACGTCCCCTCACCCTCTGCTGATCATCTGCTTTGGTTTTACCACGCTCACAGTTTGTAATTCTTGTGGGTGGACAGTGTGGGAATGAGAAACACATACGAACAACAGCCTCCTCCTCCCCCTCCTCCCCACGCCCTTTGGTCATCCATGACAAAGCTATCACACAGCCCAAACTGAGGTAAATGGTCATCAATAGCTTGTGCTCAAGATAAGCAGCATCATGTTCACAGTCTAAAGCTTTGATTACTAACTGCGGAAGGTTAACATTTGATGCGTGTGAGGTTTCCTCCTGGAATCTCTGTTTGGAATCCTGTTCGCTCCTC